CCTCTTTACCTTTCGCTGGCAGCTGCGGTCGGTCCATCATATGCCTTTATGTTTCCGATGGCATCTCCTCCTAATGCCATCGTTTACGATGCTGGTGCTATGAGCATGCTTGACATGGTAGGTTTAAAGTTCAGTAGAGTGAGCCTATATAATCGCAATTTTTTTATTCAAGGCCTCCTGCGGTATATTTTTGAACGTGGCATGCATTCTTATCACTGTATTAAATCTGAATACGTGGTCATATTGGATATTTTCTATGGGCACCTATCCCGAATATGCCCTTCGTTATAATGCTACTTCTACTTGTTAAGGTTTTTTTGCTTGTGTAAATATTGTTTGAACAGTGCAAACAAACGGCCGTCTTTTGATTTCTAAATGGCATGCCCTTTTCTAGATGTTAGGGCAGTGCTACCGGTGATGTTCCCTTTTGGAAAAACTGAAGTCAAACTTGCCTGCGTTACTGCTCACTGTTTAGATGTTTACTTCTTAGTAGACATCCTTCAAATTGTTATTGTACCATACACCGTTTCAAATTATTATCGTATAATATATGCCTTCACAATAATAAACAAAGTGAAACTCACTGTCAATCCGACCTCTCTTGCCGTCAGAATAACAATAGTAACTTTTTTATCACCATTATTGTCGCGATCGAGTGATATGCATCGACAGGCATGACAGTGTTTTGAGAAATGTACTTTCTCCGTGAAGTTTGTACGTAGGCCGAGCTGGGGCTCGGCTGTACATGAGTAGAGGTCGCTACCATTTATGTTCCATTCATTCCATTACTTTTTCACTGCTTTGCCAACGCGTTCACTCATTTGTATCCATTTTCTTCTAAATGTGCGAGTAAAAAACCTACTCAGCAATTTGCGTCGCATATTGTATCCTCTAATCCTTGTTTCGAAAAGCGTGAACTTACTGTGACTTTTTTGCACTCATCGACATCACTTCATATGGTTGTGCATAGAAACATCCATGCTATCATATTCATTTGTCACATGTTGTTTCTTTGCCATGTCTTACCTCTCATTGAAAAAATTGAAGTGCATATATTAGGTATGCTTTCTGATGCATTTCCTGGATTTATTATTGTATTGAGTTTGTCTGCCCAAGTTTGGAGTGAACAACTGCGCAAGTTCCGTGTTGTGTGTTCTCTCTGCTTCCCATCTTATTCTTGAAATCATCGAATCCACCAGCTCTCAAGTCAGTTTCGACTTCCATCCTGAATCAAACTGAAGTTGCCATGACAGAATGATAAAGCAGATTGGTGTGCAGATTTCAAAGAGGTATGTTCGCAGAGTTTTGCTACAGGCGGAAATTTGGCGCTAGGGTAATTCGCTGAACTTCTTCAAAGTAAGGTCCGACATCTTGGGGCTACGCCCTCTCACTGTCGGAATCTACGGATCTCTCACCGGCGTATGTCCGCGGGGTATACCAAATAATAGGACCCGTTATTGTTTGCCAATAACTTGCAGTAGGGAAACCCACAAAAGGAGTACTAATATACAACAGCTTCATCTTTGCAAAATTACGACATGCTTTATTAGGTGCTTCCGGGAAAACAAAAATTTATGGAAAAAAGGTCAAAATATTAAATGAACGCTGATCAAACCCCAGACGCAAATAATGATGTTTGTTTTGT